CTTATTTATAGTCTATTTTTATGTCCAGTTTTAATTTTTTCATCTATTTTATTATCGAGTTTTATTAGTTTTGTTATTTTATTTGAGTTCTGTTTTTATTTTAGCTTCCAGTTAATTATAGTATTTTATTGGTTTTACTTTAGTTTCAGACTACTTTTAATAAAGCGAGCTAATCACACTTTAGTTTACCTTTTGGGCTGTCTATAGGGGTCGCGTTTTCGTTGACTTTTAATTGTTTTAAATATTTCCACATTTTTAGTAGCCCGACTTTCCAACGGTTTTCCCTTTTTTGTCGCCGGCCCAAAAAGTAATCTAAAGAAGGCTAAATTCACTTTATTAAAAAGTAATCTAAAATTGTTGGAAAAACGGGCTACTAAGATTGCGGGAGTATTTTTATTTTTTAGTTTGGATTTTTAGTTGGCCTAGTTCCCAATATTTGGGTTGTTGCGCATTTTACTTATGACGCACTTTTTGTTTACATTCGTTACATTATTTAAATAATTATTCCTCTTCTTTTGACGTTTATAATCTTATTTTTTTTTAAATTTACATTTCCTTTCTCCTGTATTGCCCACACTGTATAACCTTTAGTAGACCCAGTCCCGCATTACGCGAGGATGTGGTTTTCCTGTGCTGACCTGGGGGATAAACTAGATGGCTACCGATATTACATTAAATCCCGCGGGCTACTTATACTAGCCACTGAGCGCCTGCTGGCGGGACTCGAGATATAGTCTCAAAACACAACGGGACGGTTGTGTTTCGTGCGTCCCTCTACCTCTGAGAACACCTGTCAAATGGATTCGGTATCCACGATTCCCTCACTGCTCACACGCGGCCGAAGATTTTTTGTCACGTTGCTTCTAAAACTTACAATTTTCGTTTTAGGAAAGGCTCTGGTGAAAAGGATCGTAAAAAAGGTGCCAGTGTTAACTGTCCCTGAATAGGCATCTCAGTGTGAAAATGCTGAACCGTGTTGACTGCAGTAAAATACTCTTGATAAAATAAAGCGTCTTATGGAAGACTTCATCTTCTCCGAGGCGGGAGGGGGAAGGAGCTGTTGGAAGATTAGTGTTCACCCTGTCGGAACGCAGCGACTGTATCCAGGACCCACGCAACATTGCTGGGATGCTGGGTGGGGAGTGGACTAGTTCCAGGCCCAAATAGCTTAACACCCATTGGCTGAATCGGTTACTGGCCCATTCTCTGATTTCTCAAGGTCAAGTGACCCCTAAGGCGAGCATCCGAAGATTGATATTGACCATTTTGATCACCTCCGGCTATCGATTACGCTGCCTCCGCGTCTCTATCAGGCCCGCAGAGCCAGAGGGAAATGTGATGTTCCGTTTTTTCACATTGCTACCTCCTGACGGACGCAACACACCCAGGTGGGTAAACGTGGTCCTATATACTAATTTGTCGCAGTACAGATAGAGGCAAAGGCGAAAT